AGTTTGTCTTGAAGATTCCCATTTGGACAAGTTCATTTTCAGGCTTTGCCCTGTTGTAGAATTACAGGTACCCTGTCTTCATTAGATGGTGCCCTAACTTCAGAACTTCACATTGGACACATGGTCAGGAGAGGCCAGTGGGGCATCCCAGTTCTCACCCTGTCTGACCCATCAACTTATTGTAGGTACTTCTGTGGACTCATGCCCTCGGGGATGTCAGGTCTCACTCCCGTGGTAGTGAGCACAGCTTCCTGGTGGGTCTTTCATGCACATCCTTGCTCCCATCAGTCTTTTGGAGAAGAGCTGTTGAGCTGGTTTGAAGTTGGCCTAGCATTTCAGGGCCATGTAAAAAAAAATCTTACAAAATTGTGGTACCCCAATGGAAGTGAATGTTACTATTCTTTATTGTTGGTGTTGAGTCATTTTCCATGGTGCCTGAGGCAAGATTTGAACTCTGCAAGATGAGTTTTCTTGACTGTAGACCAAGCACTCTGTGAATCATGGCGCCCCCTAGCGGCCCTTAGTATTCTTTTAAAAATGAAAGCTAGTGGGGGCAGCTAGGTGGCGCAGTGAATAGAGCACCGGCCCTGGATTCAGGAAGACCTGAGTTCAAATCCAGCCTCAGACATATAACACTTACTAGCTGTGTGACACTTAATCCTCATTGCCCAACAAAAAAGAAAAAAAAAAGTAAAAATGAAAGCTAGGAAGAATTGCAGGAGCATGAGAAGACTTGGAGGACAGAATGAAGTAAACAGAACCTTGTTTCCCACAGAGGGAATGAATGTGAGTGCTGTGGGATGCACCTGGGAGAAGAGTGAGAAAATGTGCCATGTGCTTTTCACAACCAGGGACTCTTTTGGTCTCTTATCTTTTTAAGAAGCACTGGTGTGCTGGGCAGTCACACATCCCTAGAAACCACTCTTTTCTTGTTTTTGCTTTCTAGTAATCTAGTAGATTTACACATTACACCTTGTTCAGCCTTTCCCCAACCAATGGGCATTCCTTTCAATTCCACTTTTTTTTTTGCTTTACCAGAAAAGTAATGCTGTCTATTAGAATTAAAATTCTTACTTTGTCTTTTTGACCTCCTTGGGATCAAAGTACTATCCCAGCATCAATATGTGTGTGTGTGTGTGTGTGTGTGTGTGTGTGTGTGTGTGTGTGTGTGTGTATAAACAGCATTCTCCAATTGCTTTTTAGAATGGAGGGACCAGGTCCTGGCTCCACCCACAGTGTGTCTGTGCTCCCCTCTTCCCATCGCCCCTCTGATGGGGATCTTTTCTTCCATCTCTCTTATTTGGGGCCTGGGCAGTTTGCCCACCACAGTAGGACTCTATGCTAGCTGGGGGAGCATGGCCTGGAATTATGTCAATGCCAGTTGAGGTGCCCTCCCTGGCCAGATAAGTTTAATCCAAGCATCATGGTCTGAGCTGAGTGTGCTAACTCACACAGGGAGAGAGAGCCCTGAAGCATGAGGTGAAGCTTCCAGGTTGTTTGGATTGGAATTTCTCTCATTAGTGCTTTTTGTCTCTTTAGGGGGCAGGCAGTACATCTCTGTCCATTCCCACTGACTCTTCTCTCTTCTGTTCTCCATCCCCTGGGTGACAGGCCAGTTGTTCTTCTTGTCACTTTGATCATGAGGCAATCAAGACAGTGGAGTGGGTACAGAAGAAGAAGATTCAGCTGCTCACATTGGGACTAGGAGGCGATGCCTTGTAAGGAAGCCATCTCCCCTCTTGCAGCCTCAGTTTCCTCTTCTGTAAAATGGAACAAATGATACCTTCACTATTTGGCTCATAAGCTTGTAGGGAAAGGGAGAAGAAGGCCAAAAAGTCTTTCTGTGCTAGGCCCATGAGAGCTTCCCTTGCTATTTATTCCACACCTTCGGGGGGGGGTGGGGGTGGAAAATGACACTGAACCTTTTAACCTGGCACCCCAGAATGCCACCTCTTTGAGGCAGAACCAGGGGCTCAACACCCAACAGGACATTTTATTGCAGCAGAATGGTGCTGGGAAGCCATCACTAATTCTTCAAAGAACACATTTTCAAAATGATGAGTATGGGTGTTTAGGTGTCTCCTTACAGCCAGTGAAATGACTTCCTAAGCTGAAGCTGTCCAAACCTTCTAAAGCCAGATGCTGTTACTCCTCCTGGACCAGGCCAGGCTAGGCTGCCCAGAAATGGTCCTCCCTGATTATGGAGTGCCCATGTTCAGGGCCTAAAGTCAATCTCGTTCAGACAGGGAGGGAGGGAGAACTCTGGGAGGCCATGATCCTTTTGCCATTGGAAGCTCAGGTAGAGCCAAACAGAGCCTCTGTTCTAAGGTCTTGGGCCTTCTGGCAGACTTTCTGGGTTGTAGGGCTCACTGTGGACAATATCTAGAAAGAATGAGGCAACCCTGCATTTACCTCAGGTGCCATCATCCTCTAAGGCTCTGGCTTGGTTGCCTGGCTTGGCAGAACTTTGTGCGCTCGGAATATTCCAGTAGATGGTACCTAGCAGCCTTCAGGGTTCCAATAACAGAAGGCCAGATGCCATAGAACTGGCTAGAGAGAAAAAAAATAATCTCAGCAATTTAATTTTTAATTTATTATTTTTTCAGGGAAGCTATCTGGTGGCTGTACATGACCTACACCAGGAAGTCTGTAGTAGTTGCAGGCCACTGAAAATCAGCCTTCTGGCTTCCACGCTGGCAAGCCACAGTACAATAGTAGGCATGCAGTCTCTGCCCTCTCTGAGACCCAAAATGCTTGGGCCAAATAGCAGGAAGAGGCAGTTAGCCTTGCCAGGGCAGTTCTCTGGGCTGAAAATGGGGGCTTGAGAGGTGATTTTGTCTTCTCCAACATGTGACTATGAAACAAGGGTCCTGGTTTTTGCATGTGTGGTAGATAGGTAAGGGCCTCGGCAGGAACTGGAGTGGAGTCTGTGTTCATTTTAGGACTCTGGTTTGTTATTGTCTTTTTGGTTCCTTTAGAGTATCCCCTGAAGCCAGGAGGTAATGATGCTGGCTTTAATTATAGGAAGAAAAATCATTTCTAATGTAAATCAATTTGCCATAGTAAATGTACTAGGGCAGAAATTCGCTCTTGTCCTTTGGAAAGTCTCTGTGATCCCAAGGTTTACTCTGATATTAGTTGTTAGGGCCACCCTTAATTTTTATAGCATTCATGGTAGACTAAAGCTTTTCATGAAATAAATGCAATATGGCCTGGCTGAAAACCACGCAGACAAAAACTGATCTGGAAGTTTCTTTGCTTCCCTTGTCTCCACTTTCTACCCAGCAGCTATTATTGTCCCACCTCTGAGCAGGGCCTGCTCTTGCTCTGGGCCTTCCCAGGTTAGATGGGAAAGTGAAGTCTGCCTACATGAAGATGTCACCCAATCCATCACTAGGTCCTTCTTCAGCCCTGGCCTCTTTCTAGTCCTTCTCTCCCTTGCTAGCATTTTGGTTGTTTACCTCCATCCGCCATGCACTCCCCTTTCACCCTCACCCTTTAAACATTCTTCATTCACATTGTCTTCCCTTGGTGTCAGCACTGGGCTTGGAGGTGCAAGGTCATTATATGACCCAAATAGCTGTTCTGGGAGAGCTCTGTTGATGACGCTTGAGAAACTGTCAGAATTCAGAATCAGTTGATCATGAGTCCACAGGGCTGGCTCCTGTGCACCTGTTCACTGAGGTCTGAAAAAAGCAACATCAACATGGCATGACAAGATTCTGAACATGGCATTGCTTCAACCGTACTGAACATCGCCACTCTGGTCCAGTGTTGGAGAGATGGTCACGTGAGTTCCTAGACATCCCACTAAGTGTTGGATGGGGCATGTGGGTGGGGTGTGGCTCACTTGTGGGAATTAGTGACCAACAAGACCCATCTTCAGAGGCCTCCTGTGAGCTTGGGGGGACCAGGAGGGAGCAGGGAGCTGGGGGGAGAGTGCTAGGAGGTGCACTCAGCCCAGCACATAGAAATGTTTGTGCAAGACTGTTTCCTTTTTAACACTGAAACAACAACAACAACAGTAATAAAAACAGTTCTCTCTTTAAACTATCTAGCAAAGACTATGTTGGCTTGTTTGATTCCATGTCCTGCAGAGAACTGAACTAAGTGATGTTTTTTGGTTCTGGACTTTCTCCATCCAGCCAAGATTCCTTTTGAAGAAAGCCTTTGCTCTGGCAGCCAACCTCCAAGGCCCCCATGTTCTGGCAGCAGCAGCTGCTTCCCCCCAAGCACTGTGGGAGTGCTTTGAGTCCTAATGGCTGAAGATCCATGAGCAGGCCTCAGGGATAGATGCTGACCATTGCTCTGATTCTGAGTCTTCAGGTGGCTGTGGACAACCTCTTGGAGATGATGCCAGACTCCAGCAAACAGGTAAGTTTCCAGTCATCACTGCTGTCATTCAGGAGCCCAGAGGGCTTGTCAGCCAACACCACTGAGGTTTTTTGTCCTGCACTTGGCCTGAGCTGCCCAGTGAGCTGTCCTAAGTGCCACAAGAGTGTGAGAAGGTGTCTGTGGGGAGTGTGAACTGGGATTGAATGGGACAAGGTCCATTCTTCCTGATTTCTTCATTGTCAAGGTCAAGATTGCACCCATCATGCCCAATGGTGAAAAGAACCATGAAAGGTACCATGGAGAGGGGCATTACCACCTTGTGGAACAGGCTAATGACAGACTGCTACTAGGCACCCTTTGCAGCTGTCCAATTTGTCATGCCCTTAATACACCAAATTCCTTTTTCTAGAGCTGTGGTTCTGTGGGACTTCTGCTGAGCATAGCAAGGCCTTCACTATTCCCTACACACCCACCCAACATATAATACATAGTCATATACACAACTCTTGGGGGTGAGCAGAGCCTGGCAGGGAGGTTGACTGCCTGACCCTCAAGAGGATGGGGAGTGGAGGGGGCAGCTAGATGCTACAGTAGATAGAGCTCCAGCCTTGGCATCAGGAAGACCTGAGTTCAAATCTGGTCTCAGACATTTGACACTTGCTAGCTGTGTAACCCTGGGCCAGTCACTTAACCCTGACTGCCTCACCAAAAATCCAAAAAAGAAAGGTGGATAGGGAATGAAACACAAGTTGCTCAGCTGGTGGTCTCTCCTCCATATCAGTGAGGGTCCAGTGGGGCAAGATTGATCCATGGAGGTTGGCTCCCACCTTCTGTCTCTTTTCCAGAGGCCATAGTGTCCAAAAGAGATTAACCATAGGGAAGGGAGGAGAAGGTCGGGGAGCTGCTTGCTGGTAGAGGGGAGGTGGATGAAGAGGGAAGGAATATAGAGACTCGGGGGGAGGGGCTAATTGGCATACTTCCCATGGACCCAGATGAGTAAATGCAGGTATACTCAGGGTGACCGTAGTTGCTCAAGATGTGAAGTTCTACCCTCTGATATGAGACTGTGTTGTCGCCCTGTGGGAAGAGGAGAATGCAGTAAGGAAGGCCTCAGATCCCTTGGTGGACACCTGACCCTGGAGTCCTTCTGTCTCACACTTCCTTCAAAGAACAGTGGCTGAATTAAGCCACAGTGTTATCGTTCAGCTCTCTGGAGTCCCTGCAGCCATTTGTAAAGCAGTGACGTCCCCATTGCCTGTGATCTGGCCTTTGAGAACATCAGCCTGCCTGGGTCACTGGGCAATTGCTGTTAGACCACCCCTCCATATGTGAAAGTGGAAGGTCTGATTGGACTCCCCAGCTTTATCATAGGTGACTTGCCCCAGGGCCACCCCTCAGCCTGAGAATCTTCATTTAGCCCTTTTGGTCTCTTTTCACAGAGGGCTTCATGGGACACACTAGACAGTGACAAAAATGAAAGGTTAAGGTCAACTTTGGAACAGTCGCTGGAGGAAGGAGTCAAACAGAGGACAGGAAATGGAATAGGCTTGTTTAAAGAAAACCAGTACCCAATGGAAAGAACAGAGCCAGAGACCTGGGTGCAAGTCTTCACTCACATTTACTCTGTGCGAGACCCTGGGCAGGTCATTTCCCTCCGAGGCCTCGGTACCCTCATCTGTTCTCTGAGGTCCACTCCAACTCAGATTGATCATATTTGCACGCTAACCCAAGTGTTCTGGCTCCACTGACCCACCCTAGAGAATCTGAGTTGTGGTTTCACTGATCTAGCTTTCTAGCCCTCCTTCCCTCTTCTTCCCTTTGCAAGTCAGTTTTGGGCCTTACCTCTGCAACTCAGACATCTGCTAGAGCACCCTGCTTTCCTGCTCCTGTAAGGAAAGTGTGGACACAATGAGACTGATGAAAACACCAACGCTGTACTCTGGGGATTCATGATCTCCTCAGGCTGGGCCCTCTGTCTGCTGGGGAGGATCTGAGTATCTGCAAACTGCTGGGCTCCAGAAATCTTGACCTTTCATCCATACTAGACCTTTCAGAGACTGGGCTTCTTTCCTACCATCCCTCCAAGAAGAGGCATCTGAGAAAGACCCAAGCTCAGTTGGTGAGGTCATTTCTCAGTCCCTTGAAGAGAGTTTCCAACTCAGTTCTTAAATTCTTCTCATTGACAGTCTTATCCCTCCCTAGTCTTCCTGCATGTATGTGCTAGGCACATGGGAGCACTTCCAGAGAGGAGCTGCAAGAGGGGGCCTAGGTTGCTTGAGGTCAGTAAACTCCATACTCATCCTTCACACAAGGGGGTCCAGGATCATTAGGCAGCTCTGTTAGCAAGTGGCCATCTCTCAGCGAGAGCAGAATATGTCAATCTGAAATGCTCCCAGACATGTATGGAATCCAGCCAGAACCCTGTAGGCAAGTGCCAGGACCCCTGAGAGCAGCATCAACCTTTCAAGGATGCTGATTCAGCCAAAAGCAACCTTCCCAAGATACCCACCCCCACTGTCTCTGCTTCCAGAAGCATCTGAGTTTTTGTATTACCTGGCATGCCCAAGGAATGTTCTTTAGCATATGATAAAGACTAGCTGATGTTTTTCCTTGAGGGTGGGCAGAGCTTCCTGGGGAACACAGAGAAGGATACAGGCATTCGACAAAACCCAGAAAACTTGGCAGGTTCTGGCAATCCCAGAGTACTGCTTCACCTCAAGACTTGCCTGCCCCCACCATGGGCCCTGTGAGATCAAACTAAGAGACACTGGTTCTGGTGACCTGGTCCTCTCAGGAGAATAAATGGGCAAATTCTGCTTTCTCCTCACCTTGATGTGGGCAGTGGTGTCCCTTCAGAAGTCCTCCAGGTTGGCTCCCCATTGGCTCACAGGGCCCTACAGGAAAGTCAAAATATCTTTGTGGTTCAGGCCTTTCCCAACTCCACTCCCACTAGCTCTTTGCCATAGCTCCAGGTCATCCAGCTTGGTGGCCTCCTTCAGTCAAAGGCTAGAGTATTCGGAAGCCAGCGTCTTCAGTCACCTTCTTAGGGCATGAACCCTGGACAGGACAAGCTGTTCGGCCTTGAAAACAAAAAGGAAAACACACAAAGATGAAAAGTCTCTTAGGAGGAGAAACAAGGAACATGGGATATTAGAGACTCCAACATCTATTAAGCACCTACTCTGTGCCAGGCACAGGGCTGAGTTCTGGCAACACCAGGATGAAGAAAGAAACCTTTGTACCCACTGGAACTTCTGCCCTGATGGAGAACACAGGAACATTCCAAACCACCTGGTCTTAAACTTGTGGGTACGTATTTCTTCATTTTACATTGATGCTGTGAACACTTTTGCATGCATTTTTGGTCTTCCCCATTAGAAAGTAAGTTCCCTGCCAACAGGAATTGTTTTATTCTTTGTACTCATATGCCCTAGGCTAAGACCTGGCACATAGTAAGTGCTTAATAAATATGTGTGGATTGGAAGGAAGGGTACCAGCTTGGGTGCAGGGGCTTAGAACTGGAAGGGGCTTAGAACTGGAAGTGGAAAGGGAAGGCTGACTCAATTCACAGCATGGGGGCAGCGATTTTGGCAGGGTCACTGAGTGTGGAAGGAGGACTGAGTCCCAGTGAGGCTAAGGCAGGAAAGACAGAGTAGGGCAATTTTACTCTGGAGTCAAAGGAGAGCCCCTGGAGTTGGCTGAGGAGGAAGTCACCTGGTCTTCCCTGTGCTTCATGAAAGTTCCTTTGGAAACAGAGTGAAGAATAGACTGGAGGCAGGGAGTCCACTCAGGAGTCTGCTGCAGTGACCTAGGAGAGAGTGATGAGGGCCTGACCTGGGGTGGCCAGGATTATGAAGGTTGAAATGGCAAATAAGCTAAGAGAGCTCAGGGCAAAAGGCTGGGTCAGTGACCTCTCAAAGAGGTGCAAAGGAGGCCAAGCATGCAGAATTCTCCCCCAACCATACCTTGCTTTTTATATACACGGGGCAGAGCCAAGATAGCAAAGAGCCCAGCTCAACTCCTCTCTAACAATCTAGAAAATGTACCAGACTGCATTCTGACCAGAAAACCTAAGACAAAGTCACTGTGAGTCATGTTTCCAGCCCAAGAGAGCATAAGAAGTAAGAGAGGGCTATGGACACTGGGTTGGGGGCTGGCCAGGAGCCCAGCATAATGGCAGTCAGGTCAGTGGAAAGCTTTTCAGTGCCCAAGGATGGTAAAAGGGCTGGGACTGAACCTCTGGGAAGGAGCAGGTCCCAGGGGACCCTATACTAGTGCTGGGAACAGGAATGGGGCCAGCTGGCATCTCTGGTCCACAGACGTAGGGCAGAGAGGACCAGTCATGAGTGAGCCAGTGAGCAATGTTGCCGTAGCTGAGCACTGACACAGGAATGTTTTACAAACAGAGCTGTGGGGACTGAGTCCCAGAGCACAGCATGGTGCTCAGTGCTATCCTTTAGTCCTGCATGTGAGCTTGCAGTGGGATACTTGAGGTAGGAGACCCAGACACAAGAAGAGTCAATAAGCTCAGTACCTCTGAACCCACAGATTCTCAAAGTGGCCTAACAGGGACTGAGTCCAGTAACATTCCACAGAATCTCAACCACCCACAAGCCAGTAGACCCAAAGCTGGGTCAGGAACTTGCACAGCTCAGACAAGGAGAGCAGTGAACAGATCATACTACTTTGGAAGCACTGAAAACTTGCAGTCTGAACTGAGAAAGCCTAGAGGTGAGCACAGCCCAACATCAACATAAGTTCATAGTCAAGAAACAGGCTGGAAGAATCAGTGAACAAAAAATGAACCTGACAGTAAAGAGCTACTGTGCTAACAGGGAAGCTCAAGACAGAAAGAAGACCGACTTGAAAACATCTTTAAGCAAAGCCTCAAAGAAAAAGGGAATATTGGCCATAAGATGAACAAGAATTCCTAGAAGAACTAAAGAACAAGATAAAAGTGCGCCCAAAAATGATTTTTTTATTAATTTATTTTGATTTATCTACAACCACTACTATAAGCTTTTCAGTTTTTAATTTTTATCCCCCTCTCTCCTCAAGACAGCATATAATCTGATATAGGCTGTACATATGCATTCCTATTAAACATATTTTCACATTAGTCATGTAAGGAACAATTAGAACTGATAGAGGGAACCACAAGAAAGAGAAAAAAACCAAAAAGAAGGAAAAAATTGGCAAATAATATGCTACAATCTGCATTCAAACTCCATAGTTCTTTCTTTGGATGTGGATAGCATTTTCCAGCATGAGACTTTTGGAGATGTCTTAGACCCTTGCATTGCTGAGAATGGCTAAGTCTCTCAAAGTTAGTCAATAGCACAATGTGGCTGTTACTGTGTACAATGTTCTCCTGGTTCTGCTCATTTCACTCAGCATCAGCCCATAGAAGTCTATCCAGGTTTTTCTGAAGTCCACTTGCTCATCATTTCTTATAGCAAAATAGTATTCTATTATATTCATATACCACAACTTATTCAGTCATTATCCAATTGATGTGCATCCCCTTAATTTCCAATTATTTGCCACCATAAAAAAAAACTGCTAGAAATATTTTTGTACATGTGGGTCCTTTTCCCATTTGTACAATCTCTTTGGGATACAGCACTAGAAGTGCTATTGCTGGGTCAAAGAGTATGCACATTTTGATAGCCTTTTGGGCATAGTTCCAAATTGCTCTCCCAAAATGGTTGGATCATTTCACAACTCCATCAACAAAGCATCACATCTTCTCCAACATTTATCATTTTCCTGTTTTATCATGTTGACTAATCTGATAGATGTGATATGCTACCTCAGAGTTGTTTTGATTTGCATTTCTCTAATCAACAATGATTTAGAGCACTTTTTCATGTAACTATAGATGGCTTTAATTTATTCATCTGAGAACTGCCTGTTCATGTCAGGTTTCACCACTTATCACTTGGGGAATGACTTGTATTCTTGTAAATTTGACTTAGTTCTCTCTATATTTTAAAAATTAGGTCCTTATCAAAGACACTGCTTTTAAAAATTCTTTCCCAGTTTCCTGCTTCCCTCCTAATCTTGGTTGCATTGGCTTTGTCTGTGCAAAAAACTTTTCAGTTGAATGTAATGAAATTTAACCATTTTGCAGTTCATAATGTTCTCTATCTCCTGTTTGGTCATGAATTCTTCTGTTCTCCATAAATCTGACAGGTAAACTATTCCTTGCTCTCCCAGTTTGCTTGTAGTATCAGTCTTTATACCTAAATTGTGAATCCATTTTGACTTTCTTATGGTACATTTTGGTCTAAGACTAGTTTCTGCCATATTCTTTTCCAGTTTTTCTAGCAGTTTTTGTCAAATAGTGAGTTGTTATCCAGAAGCTGGGATCATTGTGTTTATCAAGTAGTAGATTACTAAAATCATTGCCTACTGTGTCCTGCGTACCTAACCTATTCCACTGATCCACCACTTTATATCTTAGCCAGTACCAAGCAGTTTTGATGATTGCTGCTTTATAATGCTATTTAAGATCTGGTATGGCTAGGCTTCCTTCCCTGCATTTCTTTTCACTACTTTCCTTGATATTCTAGAACTTTTGTTATTCCAACTGAATTTTACTTTCTCTAGCTCTATAAAATATATTATATATATATAGTATTTTGATTGGTATGGCACTGAATAACTAAATTAGCTTAGGTGGAATTGTCATTTTTATTATATTAGCTCGGCCTACCAGTGAGCAACTGATTTTTTTCCCTAATTATTGAGATCTCACTTTATTTGTGTGAAAAGTGTTTTGTAATTATTTTCATATTGTTCCTGGGTTTGTTTTGTTAGGTACACTGCTAAATATTTTATGATGTCTAAAGTAATTTTAAATGGAATTTCTCTTTGTATGTCTTGCTATTGGTCTTTGTTGGTAATATATAGAAATGCTGATGATTTATGTGGATCCAAAAATAATTTTAAAAAACAATTAAGAGTGAAAGCAGAAGAAGTGAAAAAGAACAGTGAAAGAAAGATTTAATAGAGGTAAAAAAAATACTGATGAAAACTACTTAGAAATTAGAATTGAGCAAACAGAAGCTAACAACTCTATGAGACAAGAAGAAAAAATGAAATTAATTCAAAGAATGAAAAAAAAGAAAAAAGTGTGTAATATCTCATGTATAAAAACAATGACCTAGAAATGGATTGAGGAGAAATAACTTAAGAGTCATTGGACAATCTAAAAACCAGGAACAACAAAGAGGGGCTTCACATAATAGTTTAAGATATTATAAAGAAAAGTAAAATGCCCAGAAGTCTTAGAATCAGAGGGCAAAGTACAACTTGAAAGACTCTACTGATCATTTCTTGAAAGAAACTCCAAAATGAAAACTCCTTATGCTCCAGGTCATAAAGAAAGCCTGCAAGTGTGTGTGGGGGGGGGGGGGTGGCAAGCCAAGATGGGGGAGTAAAAACAGTGACTTACTTGAACTCTCTCCAAACCCCCCCAAATACCTCTAAAAATATTTGAGAGTGGCAGAACATGCAAAAGACAGATTGAAACAAAGTTCCAGCAGAAGACAATCTAGATGGTTGATGGGAAAGGTCTGTTGTGCCAGGCTGGGAGAGGAGCACAGTTTAGCATGGGCTGCACAGACAAAGATAGAGCCTCAGTGAACCTGGAGTAGGCCTCAGAGGACTGAATCATTAGCAGCTGGAGCGGTTTCCAAATTTCTCAACCCACAAAACCAAAGACAACTTGGAAGGTCATTAGGAAGGTCTCTCAAACCTGGGTGAGAGAGGAAAGCAGTCCAGCCCTAGTACTGGCACAGCCTCAAGGCAGCAGCTGCTTCTGGAGCTCTTGGACCACAGATGATGGGGAGATGGAGTGGCTGGTCAGTGGGGACTGCAGGGAACTCTTTGCTGGTGCTGAGGCAGGACTCTCTTGCTTTGCCCGTGATTGGATTTGGGTCACAGTCCGAGTGGCAGTCCTGGGGCAAGGAGGACAGCTGGCATGGTGGAGCTGTGTGGCAGTGGTGAAGAGAGATTCCTCCTCAAATTTCCAAGGCAGAAAAGAGTGCTTGTGGTCACTCACAGACCAGAGCACAGGCCATAAAAGGAGTAAACACCTCTCCTTTGATCATACCACCTTGGAAGACCTGAAAATTTACAGGTCCTAGAAGTATCTCTTAAAACAGCTACACAAAACCCTCAAGCTTGGGCCAGTACAATCTCCACACTGCAAGCAGACACTTACCTTCACAAAGAGTTTAAAACACAAGTAATTGGGTGGGAACATGCGCACACAGAACAAAAAAGTCAGACTATAGAACCTAACTTTGGTGACAAAAGAAGAACAATATAGAACCAGAAGAAGACAACATAGTCAAAGGTCCTACATCCAAAGCCTCCAAGAAAAAATATGAATCACTCCCAGGCCATGGAAGAGCTCAAAAAAGATTTTGAGAAGCAAGTAAAAGAGGTAAAGGAAAAAGTGTGAAGAGAAATGAGAGTGATGCAAGAAAATCATGAAAAACAAGTCAACAGCTTGTTAAAGGAGACCTAAAAATATTAAAGAAAATAACACCTGGAAAAATAGCCTAACTGAAAAGAGGACCAAAAGCCAATGAGGAGAAGAATGTATTAAAAAGCAGAACTGGCCAAATGGAAAAGGAAGATGAAAAGCTCACTGAAGAAAATAATTTCTTAAAAATTAGAATGGCACAGAGGTGGCAGAGTGAGGGACTAGAGTGGCCATTTGCTCTGCTTGCCACTCCAGGCCAGCCACATTTCCTCTGATGCATGCAGACTTCTTGTAGTTGCAGTCCGGCACTGCAAAGCTGTTCCTTTCTGCAAGCACTGTGGGAATGCCAAGAAACAAAATGATCATGGAAGTGCAGATGGCCATCTTCACCAACATGCTGGGCATGTTCCTCTTCCTGCTTCTGCTCCTCTATGACTACGTGGTGATCAATAACTCCAAGAAGCAGGAGTGAGGTGGCACGGCCCCGCTGCAGATGGCTCTGTGCTCGAGAGGAGCATTTTCATACTTGTCTCTTCTGCTTGCTGAGAGCTGAGGATGCCACAAGCCTGAGCCCAGGAATGGCCCTTAAGGGATGCAGAAGTGCCTGCCACCAGGATGAAAAGTCAAAAAGGGATTGGGAAGAAGCTCCTCCAAGGTTGAGGGGTTTAGGCCCCTATTAAACATCCCCTCCACTTTTGAGGCTAAAAAAAATAGAATGGTGAAAATGAAAGCTAATGACTTTGTAAGAAATCAAGAAATTATAAAACAAAACCAAAAGAATGAAAAATAGAAGACAATGTGAAATATCTCACTGAAAAACAACTGAACTGGAAATCAGGTCCAGGAGAGATAATTTTAAAATTATTGGACTACCTGAAACCCCTGATCAAAAAAAGAACCTAGACAACATCTTTCAAGAAATTATCAATGAAAACTGCCCAGATATTCTAGAACAGAGGGTAAAATAGAAATTGAAAGAATCCACCAATCACTTCCTAAAAGAAATCGCCAAAGGAAAACTCCTAGGAATATTGTAGCCAAATTCCAGAATTCCCAGGGCAAGGAGAAAATATTGCAAGCAGCCAGAAAGAAACAGTTCAAGTATTGTTGAAACACAATCAGATAACACAAGATTTAGTAGCTTCTACACTAAGAGCCTGGAGGGTCTGGAATATGACATTCCAGAGTTTGAAGGAGATAGGATTACAAACAAGAATCACCTACCCAGCCAAATTGAGTATAATCCCTCTGGCAAAAATGGATATTCAATGAAATAGAGGACTTGGAAGCATTCTTGATGAAAAGACCAGAGCTGAACAGAAAATTTGAATTTCAAATAAAGACTCCAGAGAAGCATGAAAAGGTTAACAGGAAAGAGACATCATAAGGGATTTATCAAGGTTGAACTGTTTACATTTCTACATGGAAAGATGAAATTAGTAACTCATATGACCTTTCTCAGTTTTAGAGTAGCTGGAAGGAATATACATAGACAGAGGGCACAGGGTGAGTTGAATATGAAGGGATGTTATCTAAAAAAATAAAATTAAGGTGTGAGAAAGGATTGTAGTGGTAGAAGGAGAAAGGGTGAGGTAAAATGGGGTATTTTATCTCACATAAGAGAGACAAGAAAAAGCTTTCACAGTTTGGGGGGGAGAGGGGAGTGATGAGAGAGAATGAGTGAGTCTTACTCTCATTTGGGTATGACAATATATCTTACCATATAAGAAAATAGGGGAGAAGGGGATAAAAGAGGGGGGAATGATAGAAGGGAGAACAGATTGGGAGATAGGGTAATCAGAAGCAAACACTTTTGAGGAGGGACAGGGTCAAAGAAGAAAATAGAATAATTGGGCGGGGATTGAATAGGATCCAAAGAAATAGAGTTAGTTTTTTAAAAACATGGCTATTATGGAGGTGTTCGGCATGACTACATATGTACAACCTGTGTGGAGTTGCTTGCCTTCTCCATGAGGGTTGAGGGGAGGAAGGAAGGAAGAAAATTTGGAAACTACAGTTTTAAAAACAAATGTTAAAAATAGTTTTTACATGAAGCTTTGAAATAAGATAAACAGGTAATGGGATATGTAAATCTATGCTGCCCTACAGGATAAAAATTTAAATTTAAAAAGAAAAAAAAAGGAAAAGGAAAAGGATTTACAAAGTATACTCCCTGTAAAGCTTTCTAAGGTAGGTAATACAAACATTGTTGCCTAAATTCTATAGATGGGGACATTGAGCCCCTAGTGATCAGCCATTCTAACCCTATGTATACACCTGGCAATTCAGAGGTGACGATGAGAAGCAGGGACAGTATGGTGCAGGGGCCTGTTCTATGGCTTCCCAGTCCCTGGGTCCTTGAAGGCCAACTTCCTTGTAGAAATAAAAAGTGCAAATAACAATGTTTTAGATTTTCTAATGTTCAGCTTCTGTTGGCCTGCACTCTGTGGGATGAGATCACAGATGAAAACAAGAATGGTTACAGGATCTAATCTCATCACCTCACACTACTTTTGACTTCCTTTCTTATCCATCTCTTTCAATATTCTTTTAACATTCCCATCACTACTTCTGAGTAGGAAAACTAGATCAGGAAAATTCCATCTCCCTGAGGGGCTAGAGATTTGCCTTGTACCCCTTTCCAAAGAGATCTAGTTTTGTTTGTTTGTTTGTTTTGAACTTAGTGGATGAAGTACTGATTAAGTACTAGTGAATTCATCACTAATGGAAGAACTTTAGATACTGGTCCACTTGGCTAAAATCAAGTCATATCACCTAGCATGTATTAAGCACCGAGTGTGTGCCAGACACTGCTCTAAACACTGGGGATGCAAAGAACGGGGGAAAAAGAAGTCCCTGAGGTCAGGGAGCTTACAGTCTAATGGAGAAGACAACATGGACACCACTATATATAAAGAAGATATATTCAGGAAACAATTTTGGTAGTCTCAGAGGGAAGACACAAAAATTAAAGAAGGTTATGAAAAGCTTCTTGCACAAAGTAATGAAGAGATTATCTGAGGCCTGAAGGAAGCCAAGAAATTCAGGAGGCAGAGATGAGGAGGGAGAGCTTTCCAGGCATGGAGGACAGCCAGTGCAAATGCCCAGAGTCAGGAGATGGAGTGTAGTATGTGAGAATCAGTAATGAGCCAAGTGTCACTAGATCTTGGAATACATGGAAGGGAGGAAGATGTGAGAAAACTGTAGAGGTAAAAAGGGGCCAAATTAAAAAGGGCCTTAAATGTAAAGCAGAAGAATTTCAATTAGATCTTGGCGACAACAGAGAGCCATGGGGTTTATGGAATGTTGGAGGGGAAGATTTGGTCACTCCTGTGCTCCAGGAAGATCAGTTTTCAATGGAGGATGGACTGGAGTGGGGAGAGATGAGTCAGGGAGACCAACTAGCAAGCTCCTGCACTAGTTCAGCTGTGAAGTAATGAGAGTATGGACCAGGCTGGTGGCAGTGGCAGAAGAGAGAAGGAAAAGTATAAAGAGAGATGATATGAAGGCAGAAATTATAGACTTTGATAATAAAAGGGGAGGAGAGGGGAGAGTGAGAGACAGTGAGGAGTCAAGGAGGACACCTCACTTGCAAGCTTGTAGGACCAGATGGTATCCCATTGATAAGGAAATTAGGAAAAGAAATGAGTGGAGTGGGCGGAGGGGAGAGTGAAGATAATGAGTTCAATTTAGGATATTTTGAGTTTAAGATATCTATGGGACAACCAGTTTGACAATGCCATTAGGCAGTTGGTGATGAGAGAGTGGAAATCAGGAGAGGGGTTAGGGCTGCTTTAATAGATTTGAGAGTCATCTTTATAGAGATGATAATTTAATCTATGGGAGCTGATGAGATTGTCAAATGAAACGTTAAAGAGGAAAAAGAGAAGAGAGCCCACAGCCTGGCAGGACCCCCCAGAATTAGTGGGTGTGACATCGATGAAGATCCAGCTAAAAAGACCAGGGAGAGGCCAGACAGGATGAAGGAAAGCCAGGAGAGAGTAGAGTCATGAAAACTTATAGAAAGGAGAGAATCGAGGAGAAGGGGTGGCCAATAATGTTAAGGGCCACAGGGAAAAACTTGGAGTGGCAGGGCCTCACAAATCTCACTAATGCACTAATGGAAGTTAATCAGTACTTCATCCACTAAGTTCAAAACAAACAAACAAACAAAACTAGATCTCTTTGGAAAGGGGTACAAGGCAAATCTCTAGCCCCTCAGGGAGATGGAATTTTCCTGATCTAGTTTTCCTACTCAGAAGTAGTGATGGGAATGTTAAAAGAATATTGAAAGAGATGGATAAGAAAGGAAGTCAAAAGTAGTGTGAGGTGATGAGATTAGATCCTGTAACCATTCTTGTTTTCATCTGTGATCTCATCCCACAGAGTGCAGGCCAACAGAAGCTGAACATTAGAAAATCTAAAACATTGTTATTTGCACTTTTTATTTCTACAAGGAAGTTGGCCTTCAAGGACCCAGGGACTGGGAAGCCACAGAACAGGCCCCTGCACCATACTGTCCCTGCTTCTCATCGTCACCTCTGAATTGCCAGGTGTATACATAGGGTTAGAATGGCTGATCACTAGGGGCTCAATGTCCCCATCTATAGAATTTAGGCAACAATGTTTGTATTACCTACCTTAGAAAGCTTTACAGGGAGTATACTTTGTAAATCCTTTTCCTTTTTCTTTTTTTTTTCTTTTTAAATTTAAATTTTTATCCTGTAGGGCAGCATAGATTTACATATCCCATTACCTGTTTATCTTATTTCAAAGCTTCATGTAAAAACAATTTTTAACATTTGTTTTTAAAACTGTAGTTTCCAAATTTTCTTCCTTCCTTCCTCCCCTCAACCCTCATTGAGAAGGCAAGCAACTCCACACAGGTTGTACATATGTAGTCATGCCGAACACCTCCATAATAGCCATGTTTTTAAAAAACTAACTCTATTTCTTTGGATCCTATTCAATCCCCGCCCAATTATTCTATTTTCTTCTTTGACCCTGTCCCTCCTCAAAAGTGTTTGCTTCTGATTACCCTATCTCCCAATCTGTTCTCCCTTCTATCATTCCCCCCTCTTTTATCCCCTTCTCCCCTATTTTCTTATATGGTAAGATATATTGTCATACCCAAATGAGAGTAAGACTCACTCATTCTCTCTCATCACTCCCCTCTCCCCCCCAAACTGTGAAAGCTTTTTCTTGTCTCTCTTATGTGAGATAAAATACCCCATTTTACCTCACCCTTTCTCCTTCTACCACTACAATCCTTTCTCACACCTTAATTTTATTTTTTTAGATAACATCCCTTCATATTCAACTCACCCTGTGCCCTCTGTCTATGTATATTCCTTCCAGCTACTCTAAAACTGAGAAAGGTCATATGAGTTACTAATTTCATCTTTCCATGTAGAAATGTAAACAGTTCAACCTTGATAAATCCCTTATGATGTCTCTTTCCTGTTAACCTTTTCATGCTTCTCTGGAGTCTTTATTTGAAATTCAAATTTTCTGTTCAGCTCTGGTCTTTTCATCAAGAATGCTTCCAAGTCCTCTATTTCATTGAATATCCATTTTTGCCAGAGGGATTATACTCAATTTGGCTGGGTAGGTGATTCTTGTTTGTAATCCTATCTCCTTCAAACTCTGGAATGTCATATTCCAGACCCTCCAGGCTCTTAGTGTAGAAGCTACTAAATCTTGTGTTATCTGATTGTGTTTCAACAATACTTGAACTGTTTCTTTCTGGCTGCTTGCAATATTTTCTCCTTGCCCTGGGAATTCTGGAATTTGGCTACAATATTCCTAGGAGTTTTCCTTTGGCGATCTCTTTTAGGAAGTGATTGGTGGATTCTTTCAATTTCTATTTTACCCTCTGGTTCTAGAATATCTGGGCAGTTTTCATTGATAATTTCTTGAAAGATGTTGTCTAGGTTCTTTTTTTGATCAGGGGTTTCAGGTAGTCCAATAATTTTAAAATTATCTCTCCTGGACCTGATTTCCAGTTCAGTTGTTTTTTCAGTGAGATATTTCACATTGTCTTCTATTTTTTCATTCTTTTGGTTTTGTTTTATAATTTCTTGATTTCTTACAAAGTCATTAGCTTTCATTTTCACCATTCTATTTTTTTTTAGCCTCAAAAGTGGAGGGGGATGTTTAATAGGGGCCTAAACCCCTCAACCTTGGAGGAGCTTCTTCCCAATCCCTTTTTGACTTTTCATCCTGGTGGCAGGCACTTCTGCATCCCTTAAGGGCCATTCCTGGGCTCAGGCTTGTGGCATCCTCAGCTCTCAGCAAGCAGAAGAGACAAGTATGAAAATGCTCCTCTCGAGCACAGAGCCATCTGCAGCGGGGCCGTGCCACCTCACTCCTGCTTCTTGGAGTTATTGATCACCACGTAGTCATAGAGGAGCAGAAGCAGGAAGAGGAACATGCCCAGCATGTTGGTGAAGATGGCCATCTGCACTTCCATGATCATTTTGTTTCTTGGCATTCCCACAGTGCTTGCAGAAAGGGAACAGCTTTGCAGTGCCGGACTGCAACTACAAGAAGTCTGCATGCATCAGAGGAAATGTGGCTGGCCTGGAGTGGCAAGCAGAGCAAATGGCCACTCTAGTCCCTCACTCTGCCACCTCTGTGCCATTCTAATTTTTAAGAAATTATTTTCTTCAGTGAGCTTTTCATCTTCCTTTTCCATTTGGCCAGTTCTGCTTTTTAATACATTCTTCTCCTCATTGGCTTTTTGGTCCTCTTTTCAGTTAGGCTATTTTTCCAGGTGTTATTTTCTTTAATATTTTTAGGTCTCCTTTAACAAGCTGTTGACTTGTTTTTCATGATTTTCTTGCATCACTCTCATTTCTCTTCACACTTTTTCCTTTACCTCTTTTACTTGCTTCTCAAAATCTTTTTTGAGCTCTTCCATGGCCTGGGAGTGATTCATATTTTTTCTTGGAGGCTTTGGATGTAGGACCTTTGACTATGTTGTCTTCTTCTGGTTCTATATATTGTTCTTCTTTTGTCACCAAAGTTAGGTTCTATAGTCTGACTTTTTTGTTCTGTGTGCGCATGTTCCCACCCAATTACTTGTGTTTTAAACTCTTTGTGAAGGTAAGTGTCTGCTTGCAGTGTGGAGATTGTACTGGCCCAAGCTTGAGGGGTTTTGTGTAGCTGTTTTAAGAGATACTTCTAGGGACCTGTAAATTTTCAGGTCTTCCAAGGTGGTATGATCAAAGGAGAGGTGTTTACTCCTTTTATGGCCTGTGCTCTGGTCTGTGAGTGACCACAAGCACTCTTTTCTGCCTTGGAAATTTGAGGAGGAATCTCTCTTCACCACTGCCACAAGCTCCACCATGCCAGCTGTCCTCCTTGCCCCAGGACTGCCACTCGGGACTGTGACCCAAATCCAATCACGGGCAAAGCAAGAGAGTCCTGCCTCAGCACCAGCAAAGAGTTCCCTGCAGTCCCCCACTGACCAGCCACTCCATCTCCCCATCATCTGTGGTCCAAGAGCTCCAGAAGCAGCTGCTGCCTTGAGGCTGTGCCAGTACTAGGGCTGGACTGCTTTCCTCTCTCACCCAGGTTTGAGAGACCTTTCCTAATGACCTTCCAAGTTGTCTTTGGTTTTTGTGGGTTGAGAAATTTGGAAACCGCTCCAGCTGCTAATGATTCAGTCCTCTGAGGCCTACTCCAGGTTCACTGAGGCTCTATCTTTGTCTGTGCAGCCCATGCTAAACTGTGCTCCTCTCCCAGCCTGGCACAACAGACCTTTCCCATCAACCATCTAGATTGTCTTCTGCTGGAACTTTGTTTCAATCTGTCTTTTTGCATGTTCTGCCACTCTCAAATATTTTTAGAGGTATTTGGGGGGGTTTGGGAGAGAGTTCAAGTAAGTCACTGTTTTTACTCCCCCATCTTGGCTTGCCACCCCCCCCCCACACACACACTTGCAGGGCTTTCTTTATGACCTGGGAGCATAAGGAGTTTTCATTTTGGAGTTTCTTTCAAGAAATGATCAGTAGAGTCTTTCAAGTTGTACTTTGCCCTCTGATTCTAAGACTTCTGGGCATTTTACTTTTCTTTATAATATCTTAAACTATTATGTGAAGCCCCTCTTTGTTGTTCCTGGTTTTTAGATTGTCCAATGACTCTTAAGTTATTTCTCCTCAATCCATTTCTAGGTCATTGTTTTTTACATGAGATATTACACACTTTTTTCTTTTTTTTCATTCTTTGAATTAATTTCATTTTTTCTTCTTGTCTCATAGAGTTGTTAGCTTCTGTTTGCTCAATTCTAATTTCTAAGTAGTTTTCATCAGTATTTTTTTACCTCTATTAAATCTTTCTTTCACTGTTCTTTTTCACTTCTTCTGCTTTCACTCTTAATTGTTTTTTAAAATTATTTTTGGATCCACATAAATCATCAGCATTTCTATATATTACCAACAAAGACCAATAGCAAGACATACAAAGAGAAATTCCATTTAAAATTACTTTAGACATCATAAAATATTTAGCAGTGTACCTAACAAAACAAACCCAGGAACAATATGAAAATAATTACAAAACACTTTTCACACAAATAAAGTGAGATCTCAATAATTAGGGAAAAAAATCAGTTGCTCACTGGTAGGCCGAGCTAATATAATAAAAATGACAATTCCACCTAAGCTAATTTAGTTATTCAGTGCCATACCAATCAAAATACTATATATATATAATATATTTTATAGAGCTAGAGAAAGTAAAATTCAGTTGGAATAACAAAAGTTCTAGAATATCAAGGAAAGTAGTGAAAAGAAATGCAGGGGAAGGAAGCCTAGCCATACCAGATCTTAAATAGCATTATAAAGCAGCAATCATCAAAACTGCTTGGTACTGGCTAAGATATAAAGTGGTGGATCAGTGGAATAGGTTAGGTACGCAGGACACAGTAGGCAATGATTTTAGTAATCTACTACTTGATAAACACAATGATCCCAGCTTCTGGGATAACAACTCACTATTTGACAAAAACTGCTAGAAAAACTGGAAAAGAATATGGCAGAAACTAGTCTTAGACCAAAATGTACCATAAGAAAGTCAAAATGGATTCACAATTTAGGTATAAAGACTGATACTACAAGCAAACTGGGAGAGCAAGGAATAGTTTACCTGTCAGATTTATGGAGAACAGAAGAATTCATGACCAAACAGGAGATAGAGAACATTATGAACTGCAAAATGGTTAAATTTCATTACATTCAACTGAAAAGTTTTTTGCACAGACAAAGCCAATGCAACCAAGATTAGGAGGGAAGCAGGAAACTGGGAAAGAATTTTTAAAAGCAGTGTCTTTGATAAGGACCTAATTTTTAAAATATAGAGAGAACTAAGTCAAATTTACAAGAATACAAGTCATTCCCCAAGTGATAAGTGGTGAAACCTGACATGAACAGGCAGTTCTCAGATGAATAAATTAAAGCCATCTATAGTTACATGAAAAAGTGCTCTAAATCATTGTTGATTAGAGAAATGCAAATCAAAACAACTCTGAGGTAGCATATCACATCTATCAGATTAGTCAACATGATAAAACAGGAAAATGATAAATGTTGGAGAAGATGTGATGCTTTGTTGATGGAGTTGTGAAATGATCCAACCATTTTGGAGAGCAATTTGGAACTATGCCCAAAAGGCTATCAAAATGTGCATACTCTTTGACCCAGCAATAGCACTTCTAGTGCTGTATCCCAAAGAGATTGTACAAATGGGAAAAGGACCCACATGTACAAAAATATTTCTAGCAGTTTTTTTTTATGGTGGCAAATAATTGGAAATTAAGGGGATGCACATCAATTGGATAATGACTGAATAAGTTGTGGTATATGAATATAATAGAATACTATTTTGCTATAAGAAATGATGAGCAAGTGGACTTCAGAAAAACCTGGATAGACTTCTATGGGCTGATGCTGAGTGAAATGAGCAGAACCAGGAGAACATTGTACACAGTAACAGCCACATTGTGCTATTGACTAACTTTGAGAGACTTAGCCATTCTCAGCAATGCAAGGGTCTAAGACATCTCCAAAAGTCTCATGCTGGAAAATGCTATCCACATCCAAAGAAAGAACTATGGAGTTTGAATGCAGATTGTAGCATATTATTTGCCAATTTTTTCCTTCTTTTTGGTTTTGTTTTCTCTTTCTTGTGGTTCCCTCTATCAGTTCTAATTGTTCCTTACATGACTAATGTGAAAATATGTTTAATAGGAATGCATATGTACAGCCTATATCAGATTATATGCTGTCTTGAGGAGAGAGGGGGATAAAAATTAAAAACTGAAAAGCTTATAGTAGTGGTTGTAGATAAATCAAAATAAATTAATAAAAAATCATTTTTGGGCGCACTTTTATCTTGTTCTTTAGTTCTTCTAGGAATTCTTGTTCATCTTATGGCCAATATTCCCTTTTTCTTTGAGGCTTTGCTTAAAGATGTTTTCAAGTCGTCGTCTTCTTTCTGTCTTGAGCTTCCCTGTTAGCACAGTAGCTCTTTACTGTCAGGTTCATTTTTTGTTCACTGATTCTTCCAGCCTGTTTCTTGACTATGAACTTTATGTTGATGTTGGGCTGTGCTCACCTCTAGGCTTTCTCAGTTCAGACTGCAAGTTTTCAGTGCTTCCAAAGTAGTATGATCTGTTCACTGCTCTCCTTGTCTGAGCTGTGCAAGTTCCTGACCCAGCTTTGGGTCTACTGGCTTGTGGGTGGTTGAGATTCTGTGGAATGTTACTGGACTCAGTCCCTGTTAGGCCACTTTGAGAATCTGTGGGTTCAGAGGTACTGAGCTTATTGACTCTTCTTGTGTCTGGGTCTCCTACCTCAAGTATCCCACTGCAAGCTCACATGCAGGACTAAAGGATAGCACTGAGCACCATGCTGTGCTCTGGGACTCAGTCCCCACAGCTCTGTTTGTAAAACATTCCTGTGTCAGTGCTCAGCTACGGCAACATTGCTCACTGGCTCACTCATGACTGGTCCTCTCTGCCCTACGTCTGTGGACCAGAGATGCCAGCTGGCCCCATTCCTGTTCCCAGCACTAGTATAGGGTCCCCTGGGACCTGCTCCTTCCCAGAGGTTCAGTCCCAGCCCTTTTACCATCCTTGGGCACTGAAAAGCTTTCCACTGACCTGACTGCCATTATGCTGGGCTCCTGGCCAGCCCCAACCCAGTGTCCATAGCCCTCTCTTACTTCTTATGCTCTCTTGGGCTGGAAACATGACTCACAGTGACTTTGTCTTAGGTTTTCTGGTCAGAATGCAGTCTGGTACATTTTCTAGATTGTTAGAGAGGAGTTGAGCTGGGCTCTTTGCTATCTTGGCTCTGCCCCGTGTATATAAAAAGCAAGGTATGGTTGGGGGAGAATTCTGCATGCTTGGCCTCCTTTGCACCTCTTTGAGAGGTCACTGACCCAGCCTTTTGCCCTGAGCTCTCTTAGCTTATTTGCCATTTCAACCTTCATAATCCTGGCCACCCCAGGTCAGGCCCTCATCACTCTCTCCTAGGTCACTGCAGCAGACTCCTGAGTGGACTCCCTGCCTCCAGTCTATTCTTCACTCTGTTTCCAAAGGAACTTTCATGAAGCACAGGGAAGACCAGGTGACTTCCTCCTCAGCCAACTCCAGGGGCT